GACTGAGCCACCCAGGCGCCCCAGAACATTCCATCTTATGGCAGCAGGATGCACATTCTGCTCAAGTGCACATGCAATGTTCTCCAGGACAGACCAGGCCACAAATCAAGTCTTAATAAATTTTAAAAGGCTGAAATCATATCAAGAATCTTTTCTGAACACAATGGTACAAGAGTAGAAATCAATTACAAGAAAAAAAAACTGGAAAATTCATCAATATGTGGAGATTAAACAACATGCACACATATGACCAGCCCACAGCTATCATCATACTCAACAGTGAAAATGTAAAAGCTTTTCCTCTGGATCAGGTACAAACAAGGATGCTCACTCTTGCCATTTCTATTCAACACAGTACTGGAAGTCATATAAGGTCAATTAGGCAAGAAAAAGAAAGAAAAGGGGTGAAGGGGAGTAAGAGATAGAGGCTTCCAGTTAGGGAATGAATAAAAGGCAGCCACATTGGGAAGAGACAACACAGTTATCTCTGTTTGCATATGAAAACCTAAGTGTTCATTAACAGATGAATGGATAAAGAAATGTGAAATATAAACATAGAGAAGGAAATCCTGGAATTTGAGAAAATACGGATGGACTATTATCCTAAGTGAAATAAGTCAGTAAAAGACAAACACTGTATGATCTCACTTATATGGGAATCTAAAAAAGCCAAACTCAGAAACAGAGAGTAGAGTGGTAGTTACCAGGGGCTGGGAGTTGGGGGAAATTAAGAGATACTGGTCAAAGGCTACAAACTTCCAGGTATAAGAGGAACAAGTTCCAGGGTCTAATGTACAGCATGGTGACTAAGTTTGATAATATTATATTACATAATTGAGATTTGCTAAGAGAGTAGAACATTAGTGTTCTCACCAAAAAAAAAAAAAAAAGGTAAATATGTAAAAGGATGGATGTGTTAATTCACTCCATGGGAACCCTTTCACAGTGTATATGTGTATCAAATCATCATTGTAACCTTTAAATATTTTACAACTGTATTTGTCAAGTATATATTCGTAAAGCCAAGAAGAAACAAGTTAGGCAGCCAATCACAGTGGTGGGTTTTAACCTTCAGGCCAACCACAGAGCCTCTTACTTTACACAAAGAAACTAAGAAAAACAAAATCAAGACATTAACTTATCATTTAAAAAACATTTATTTAGAGACAACTAGGCCATGTCAACATAAGTTGATTCTCCTACTAGAAATGAATAAACATAACCTCATGCAGAAGAAAAGTTAATGTCATCTTTGTTTAATGCAGAGTGGCTGAACTTTGCAACAGCATGTTTCTGCTACCAATATACATATATGTAATTTTTGAAGGAATAACGATCATTTTTAAGGATTCATATCGTAGCTTGTCCCTAAAACTAGAAGGATTATGTAATACTTTCCTTAAGCTGATTCCTTCTTCTCTAGTCACTTTGCAAATAGAAATACCTGAGTTGGTATTCATGCCCCTACCCTTAAGATTCTCAAATTAGAATAAGCAATTACCATATACAGAGCCAATCACAGGTTTAGTGATGCTTGAAAATGAACACAAAAGGACTGTGACCATAGGAATTGGAGCATATTAACTTTAAATAGTATATGTGATAAAATTAGTACAAAGTATTTAAAGATATGTAAGTTAACCATTTATAGAGAGAAAAAAATCTTTTACATTTAGATAAAAGTTTATAAAGAGCAGTATTTTAAAATTTATATTACACATTGCATAACTGAAGAGTAAATCCTGTCAGTGGAGAAATAAATGTTTTAAAATTCTCAAAGAAGAAAATTATATAAACTTTAATTCAAGGTAACATAGTTGGCTGGAAAAATGCCAGTTTGACCTCGAAGTTTCCCTTCCCACCAATCGAAATGTGAATCTGTTTGTGATATAACTGTGATTCTGTCTCCAGCGTGAAAATTCAAATCCCCTGGCTGCTGACCTTCAAAAGAATATAATGCCGTCACTTCTATGGGTGGGTTCAACTTGCCTAAAACAAACAAACAAAAGTATTTAAATTATTCACATTTTTAATGGGAAACCTGGGAAGGTAAGATATAAATTAACTTCAGTACTTAATATTCTAATGCCTTAGAGCATGTGGTCTGTGTGATTTTCATCATATTATTAGACTTATGTTCTTCTTCAAAAAGAGCAAATGTTTGGTAATAACGTTTCCTAAATCCATACAAGTCAAACTGCATATTATTATATATTTAACTATGTATTTAGCTAATATTTGTGGTTATAATTGTTTGAATTTTGAATAACCTATAACACTACAAGCTAACCCTTGAACAATACAGGTGTGAACTGCACTTATACATGGATTTTTTTTTTTATAAACAGTATGATGCTGTAAATGTATTTTCTCCTTCTTTTCTTTTCTTTTTTTTTTAAAGATTTTATTTGTTTATTTGAGACAGAGAGAATGAGAGAGAGAGAGCACATGAGAGGGGGAGGGGGAGAGGGAGAAGCAGGCTCCCCACTGAGCAGGGAGCCTGATTCAGGACTCAATCCCGGACTCCAGGATCATGACCTGAGCCGAAGGCAGTCGCTTAACCAACTGAGCCACCCAGGCACCTTTCTTTTCTTTTTTTAAAAATTAATTAATTTATTTCACAGAGAGAGCATGAAAGAGCACAAGCAGGGGGAGCAGCAGAGGGAGAGGGAGAAGCAGGCTCCCCACTGAGCAGGGAGCCTGATTCAGGACTCAATCCCAGGACCCCGAGATCATGACCTGAGCCAAAGACAGACGCTTAACTGACTGAACCACCAAGGTGCCCCCTCCTTATTTTCTTAATAACATTTTATTTTATCTAGCTTCATTTATTATAAGAATACAGCACATAATACATGTAACATACAAAATATGTGTTAACCTACTATTTATGCTTTTGTTAAGGCTTTTGGTCTATGATAGGCTATTAGTAGTTAAGTTTTGGGGGAATCAAAAGTTATATGTGGATTTTCAACTGCATGGGGTTTGGTGCCCCTAAACCCCCTGTCCCAAGCTGTTCAAAGGTCAACTGTATTTACATTTTTCCCCTTTTAATAGAATGGTCATTATGGCTTTCATGTATCGTAGCTGTTAGAGAAAAACACATTTATAGTCACGATTGTATCATAAAATATTTAATTGAAAAACCATGCTCCAGGATAGAGCTAGAGAGTATTATGCTAAGGGAAATAAGTCAGTCAGAGAAAGACAAATACCATATGATCTTACTCATATGTGGCATTTAAGAAACAAAACAAATGTGTAAAGGAAGAAAAAAAGAGAGACATACACACAAACCAAGAAACAGACCCAGACTTTTAACTATAGAGAACAAACTATGGTTACCAGAGGGGACATAGGTAGGAAGATGGGGGTTAAAGAGTACATTTATCATGATGAAAAATAAAATAAAATAAAATGTTAAACAAAACAAAAACCATGCTCTGTAGCCTTTGGTTTTTAGGGTTCCAGCTCAGACGAATTTTGCCGATTCATCAGCAGACATTTTTTCCATAGGCTTCATGGCTGTTTTCATTTCTGCGCTTACTTTACACTTTCTCTCAAAACAGAGATAAAACTCAAATTAGCACAAGAAGTATGTCTGCATATGCTTAATAAGAGTTTCAACACAATGTGTAGAATTGTCTGTATCGTATTAGGAAAAAAATACCTTGAGAATTGAGGAGTTAATATGAGTAAAAAACAGTAATATTATAAACTGTATAACATCACAAGAAATATAAAGAAACAGATACTTTCTGTGTATTCAGCTACATGGAATTTTATATTTGTTTCACATACTATGTGCACATATTAGGCAATTAGATGCTTGTTAAATGCATCTTAGTGCAGATACACTGAAAACATAAATAACCGAATTCTAAAAACCAGTTACTTATTTGAACCTATAATACTATAATAGTAAAAGATAAACCAAATTTGGCTTGTCAGTAAGTGATAAAAAGTGAAGACTTTAATTACACTACGTTGACCAAAACATGGAATTTGTAGTTCACACAAGATGGTGCTGCAGTTCTTCCTGTAAAAGCATGTGCCACGTGGTTCTTTGAGTTCTCCTCAAGAAATAACCCTAATAACAACTAACAGAATTACATTCGAGGGATTCCTGGTATCATTATTTTTTTCTATCATAGAGACATGTTCTGCCTGTTTTTACATCTTATACTATATTTACTTGTAGTCTATCAGTTTCAAGGAAGAAGGTTAAAAGAATATCACAGAAGTGTAGAATTTTGATAACGTCTGGATATCATCAAAACCAGCTGAGTGACAGCCAACACATTAATGAGCACTCATCACCGTGTATGTGACAAGCAGCGGGGGTCCCGCACTGCGGGACACACAGCAAGTTCTCCTGACAGGCCCCTTTGTCATTAAATCAGAGGAATGTAAGGTGATGTTAGAGGAAAAAAATCATTCCTAACATCATTTTCTCATCAATAATTATATTTATCACCTCCATACATAAAGCTCAACCTCTTTCAACCGAACTTAATGAAAACCCTCAAGTAGCTCCTCCTCTCTTGTGTCTCCAAGCACCTTGGATAATACAAAGAAGCAAGCAGAAGAGTCCTAGTGAATATCAGGGAATGTTCTGGAAGTCACAGCCATCTTGGCGGCCATATGTGTGTGCATCTGTAGTACCAGGTACAAAGGAAAATGCACGAGAGGGTGATCGCAGTGATGACAGGTGCCAGCCCTTGCTGTGTGCTCAGGCTGTCCCTCGTCCCATCACCCCCGCATCACAGAACATCAAGCTCAAGTGGTGTGTGAGGCACTCTGTCCAAGGAGCCGAGATCCGAATCTCAGAATCACCACCGACCTCATCCCCCAAGGCCCTCTGCAGCCACGCAAGTATTAAATTGTGTTCAGCAGATTGAACTTAGACTTATCAGGGCATTTCACTTTTGTCAGGCACATTTTCAAGGAGAATTAGCATATTCTTCTGCATCACTGAGTTATCCAGACTCTACAAATAGTAAGAATGTTGGATGATGATCCTGGGTAACCACTGATAAATGAACTGGTTCTTACTGGTTTTAGGAATATATTTTGTGATGAACAATTAGAGGAAGAAAGATATTATGAACTGAATGAAAGACAGAGAGGATCACAGACTTGGTTCAGTTCCTGCCCTTCCTATTTAGGTGTTGTCCAGTTTCCTCTGAATTGTAGTTTCCAAATGAACTAAGGGTAAAGTGGTGATGGGAAAGGGGGTGTAAGAACAGAGCAGGTGGTTTTGAGATGCAGCAGAGAAGAAGGCAGTGCTGTGGGGTTTGAGGAGGTTGGTATTCAACATCCCTCTTTCCCCCCACCCAAATTTTGAGCAGAGATGAGGCAAATGGGGAGGGGAAATCATTGCTGGGAGAGCTAGGGAAGAATATGGGCAAGATAGGCAGACAGGGATGTGCCAAAGAAGAGTCAGGAGTTTAAGCAGTTTCGCGGAAAATTCATCCACAAGAACACGAGGTGGTGAGCCAAGCCTGAATGAAGACCGGCGCTCCCTGGAGGTAACAGTCCACAGGCCACTCAATGCCATGCCCTACTATTAGTTTTTTCTTCAAGTTCTTAAAGTTCTTCTTCACTATAAATATTAGAGATATCTTCCATAAGGAAAAGTTTAATGCCCACAAAATAGCTTATTAAAAAAAAAAAAAAGGTGGGCCTTTTTCTTCCGGGAGGGAGGTATGTCCTTCCAGAAAGAGAGAGCCCCCTGGGGACCACGGACACAGGCCCCGCTGCCAACTAAAATACTTGGCATTCACAGAAGCCTTGCCTTCAAGTTTTATATTCCTGTGTTTAAGAAGTATGTAAGCTCTTTGAAGCAATTAGCCATTTTCATCATAATATTCAACTTTAATTCAAATACAGTTTATTTTCTCTCCCAAATCAGGACTACACTTAACAGGAAGCAGCTGTCCCGAGGCTCCTAATTAGCAAGGCTGGGTCTAGAGAGTGTCACTGTGTTACTCCCAGTTGCTTTCTCCATGGAGTCTGCATAATGTAACCCATATGCAACCAACATATCCGGCCCTAGACGTGATCCGGGAAAGGAATCTCACTAGTCTTTGGAAGGTCGTTGCAAGGCAAGCAGAAGTAAGAGAACAAACACATCTTTGGTTTTGTGCACATTTAATGTAATGATGAGTTGCATGTGGGTAACTCTGGTACCCACATCTCCCCAGGTCAGGTGTGGGGTCTGTCACTTTCAGGATCACGTCCTTTGGAAGAGGGTGAGAATCATTGGTAAAGTGAGGCAGATAAGGCCACTAGGTGATGTCACCAGAAAAGCAGTTCTCAAAAGGTAATGTCTGGAGCATTTGTGGTCCTTGCAACTGGGAAGGGAGTATTATTGGCATGGAGTGACTCAGTCCAGGGCATCCACGCAGCACAGGATGGCCCCCACAATGGATGTGCCCAGACTGTCACTGAAAATTACAGGGTGGATAGGAGGCGGGTGGTGAAGACTGACACAGGAGGGCACGGGCTGTTACAGAAAGGTACAGTAAACCAGGTTGTGCAGTTGCAAGGCTGTCTTGCTGAGAGGCCCAAGTACCATGCAGTTGAGCTTCCAAAGGGTACAAAACAAAAGTATATGCAATTTGGAGAATTCCTGCTTTGCCCAACAGCCCATGCAAAAGTGCAGCTGGTCAGTGGGTACGGGACAGGCCGAGAGCAAGCCCACAGGAGTTTTAACTTGAGGCTCAGGCCTGTGCCCTGTGCCTTTTCTCTGCAGCAATACTTGGCCAGGATGTGAGAAAGTCCTTGGTAAGAATTTAACTGATTTCACAGCTGCTTTTTAAAAAAAGACAATCATGTTAAGTTTTATTTTAAAAATAGACTTTAAATCTTCCTTTCCATTTTTTTCTTCAAACTCCCTTATATTTGGAGAAAGGACTAAAATAAATTAATATTATCCTAGTACCTACTGTTTGTACAACTTAACTCATCCTACCCTCAAATATAAAAAAAAAACCTGACCG